CTCTTTCCTCCCAGGAAGCAGGCTGCAGGCTGCTCGGTGCGGGGGCTCAGTGAGTTTTGCTGGTAAACGCTCATGTGTTTGCTGAGGTCACAGGTCATAAATCTCACTGCTCACTGAGCTCTCCACACCGGCCAGCCCATCAGCTACACGTTGTTCTCACGTAACATCCGTAACCTTCGCGGGGCTCCTGGCTGGTGCAGCCTGGCTGGGCAGGTTAGAGGCCTGCTGCCTCTCCTGGCCGGGCTGCCCAGCATTGGCTGGTGCTTCCTCTGTGAGGCAGCAGCCTGACCTGCCCCTCGGGTGGGGAGAGGGGCCGGGGCTCTGCTGTGAGTTCCCAGCAGACAGGCTTCCCAGTCGTGGCCCCTGAACCACAGTCCCAGCCCTGCGGGTCCCCAGTTGGCCAGAGGGCCCAGGGCCAGTCAGGAAGGCTGTGGGGCGGGGAGGGCTGGGGCAGAGCAGTCACAGGAATGAGCGTGTCCTGAGGGTGCCTGGCTTTGAGCTGCCTGATATTCTTTTGTTCTGCTCCTCTTCTGTTTTCCCTTATTTTCAGTAAAGCTCTTTAGAAAGGTCCAGGCTCAGCTGGGGAGTTGGGGTGTGTGTGTGTGTGTGTGTGTGTGTGTGTGGCCAAGGCTAGGAGGGAGCAGAGAGAGGGAAACGTGGTCTTTACAGCGAGCACAGGGCAGGAGGGGGATCCCAGGGACAGTCCCTCAGTCCCTCCACAGGCCTGTCTTCCAGGAGGCTGGCTGCCTCCCACCAGAGGCAGGTCCGGGTGTCAGGGCTGAGCACAGGAAGACCCACAGAGCGGGGATCTGATCTCTGAGAGGCTCGGCCTGGAGGGTCTCACTCCATTAGCTTGTGCATGAGCCCCTCAGGCCAAAGGCAGTTTCTTAAATGGAGAGACCAATGCAAAACAGGTCCTGCGGACAGAGCCCTTCTCCATGGGAAAGGAGACCCTCACGGGGGAGACTTACTCTGCAGGCCCCTCGTGGAGGATGACGCAGTGGAGGACGACGCAGTGGAGGACGCAGTGTAGCTAGGCCGGCTGGCCTGCTGGGGGCCACGTGAGGAGAACTGAGGGGCCAGGGCTGATGCCTTGGCCTTGGGTGGGTTCAGGTCCAGGATTTCCGGGGTCCAGGGGGTCTGGGGCTTGCTGGCAAAGGCTGACGAAAATTCCCTAGAATGAAATGTGCAAGCTAGAGTCAAAGTTACTGCTGGTAGGGAGTCTCAGGAGGAGGACTCCCGCTCTGAACATAGAAGCCAGGCGGACAGTGCCCTGGATATGGGGTCGGGGTGGGTAGAGCAGGGCACCCAGAGGCTTAAGTCCCTGTCCCCTTGGAGCTCACATTCTAAGGGAGGAGATAATGAAAAGAAATACATGCTCAGGAGGAGATAAGCTGGGAAGGGGAATGGGGAGCCGGGGAGAGAATGAAGTGCGAGGGAAGGTGTGGTTGGCAGAAAAGATGTCCAGGCCGAATCCCTGGAATGTCACATGACAAATGGGAATTGAGTTTGCTAATCTGTTGACTTCAAAATAGGGAGTTACCCTGGACTTTTGGGGTGGGCCAAAAACCACAGGGGTACATAAAAGTGGGAGAGAGAGAAGTCAGGGAAAAGGTATGACCATGGAGAAAGGGACGGAGATGCTGAAGGTGGAGGAGGGGCCACGAGCCAGAGCAGACAGGAGCCAGAACAGGCAAAAAAGAGAATCTCCCCGAGAACTGCAGAAAGGAGCCTGTCCTGTGGACATCTTGATTGCAGCCCAGTGAGATCTATCTGGGTCGGGCTTCTAGCCCACAGAACTGTAAGATAATAAATGCGTGGTGTTCAGGTCACTACATCTGTGGCAATTTGGTATAGGAACAACAGAAAGCAAATTTTAGATAGGATGATCAGGGACGGCCTGAGAAGATGACCTTTAACGATCCCGTGAGGCAGGCATTACTACCCCATTTTTCAGATGTACAGACTGAGGCTCCAAGGTCACACATATAACAAGCAGGTGGAGAGGCCAAGATCTGAACCCAGTGGGGCCTAAGACCCGGATGTTCTCCAGACGCCCTCTGGGTCCCAGCCTGATGGACCGGCTGTGCAGACTGTTGGCCAGTCTTGGAATGGAGTCTTCCTTCCCTTCAGCGCACAGCCACCATCACTCCGTGCTGTGAGAGAAGTCTTGGGAGTGGGGTCCTGCCTCTGTGGCCTCCCAGCTACGTGGCTGGGGTTGGGATACGATTCCCCCACCCAGCCCTTTGCTCTTTGGCTGTCATTGACCTGAATACACGCTCACCTCTTGCTCCCACCTTGAATTCTGCGGCCCTTGCTATCTATGTGCCCATTTTCCTGACTATAACTCTGAAGGCTAGAGTCCCAGGCTGGGAGAACAAAGGGTAAAGTATTTAACTGCAGCAGTGTTTGACTATATTCTGCACAGTGAGAAAACCTGAAGTCATTTTCAAGGCCCACCATTTCTTACTTCTTTTCAGTCGGGTCAAGTTTCTAAACTTTCTAAATCTCCGTTTTCTGGCTAATGAAAAGAAAATAGGATTCTACTGAGTCTCCTATCTACCTACTCCAGGACTTCTGTGAGGATCAAATGAGATGAGGCACAGAAAAATGCTTCACAGATATTTGGTTACTGTGTGAAATGTTTCCACCTGGCTATAAGCATGTCGTGTTCCTGGGCTGAAGAAACTGCAAGAAGGCTAGTTGCTAGGGAGAGGAAGCCGGCTGTTGCTATGTGATGTCATAACCTGGACAGACACTTAGCATATTAGCCTTTTATATATAGATGGCCTGTTGCTAGGGATTGAAAGCTGGGCATTGCCACATGACATCATTACCTGGTGCCACAGCCACTGTTTCTGGACTGGGCTGGGCGGTGGGTTGTATTTTGCCCCATGGGGTCTCAGCAGCATTGGCTGTGATTTGGTGGGCTGCTGCTCTGGGGTGGTGGCGGGGCCTGTGTCCCACTTGGGGGAAGCCAAGTGTTGCTTTGTGAGCACCAGATCCACGGTGACATTTCTCTGTGCACGTCACAGCAGCTCCTGCATTGAGCATCTGCTCCCTGGGTAGTCAGTGTGCATCATAGAGACTGGTCAGATGGTGGGAGGGACACTTAGCATATTAGCCTTTTATATAGATAGATGGTTGTGAGCCTTTTTTTCTGATTGATGTACTGTAATTCATTAAGCCTCTTCCCTGACGGTTTACTTTTCTTTCATTTGTTGCTGATGCGTGTGTGCTAAGAGCTGTGCTGGGTGCTAGGGATGAAAGATCAACCAGGACCGGTTCCTGCTCCTGGGAGTTCAGGAGCCTGTTTGATCCATGAGCAAAGACTGTACGACAGTTGCATCGCTGATGCTTTCTTACCCACTATTATTTGATTCAAATGAGTTTTTTTTCCTATTTAGCTATTTTATTTTATTTTTTAAAAAATATATTTTATTGATTTTTTACAGAGAGGAAGGGAGAGGGATAGAGAGTTAGAAACATCGATGAGAGAGGAACATCGATCAGCTGCCTCCTGCATACCCCCCACTGGGAATGTGCCTGCAACCAAGATACATGCTTGACTGGAGAATCGAACCTGGGACCCTTCTGTCTGCAGGCTGGCGGTCTATCCACTGAGCCAAACTGGTTAGGGGCCTGCCACC